ATAATTTCAAAAAATTCGTCATGCATTCATGGGTGTCGACGTATGAGAAAGTTATGAACTGATTTTTCAAAAAAAATATTAATATTTGACATATTGTTAAGAAATTATTGAATATATAAAAACATTTGAAATTATTTCAAATAAAATTAGAAAAAATGATTATTAATTCACTATAATGTAAAAACCACACGTCTTGATTACATTTTTTCAATCAAAACTTTTTCCTTTTGTAATTATTTCTTTAACGCTCAGAGAAACTCTAAATATTTTCAAAGTAGGTGTCTACTTCTAAATTATATTCGACGATTTAAACCGTTAGGTATGTAGCATTGAGCATTATAGATAGATATATTATATTCAACACTTTTGAAACCAATCAATTTCCTGGAAAAAACTAAACAGAAAGAAAAGAAAAAGATCATTCAAACCAATAAGGTAAATTTCTCTTTTTCAGAATCGAAAACCTAAATGGGTACCTAACAATAAATATAAAATGTCAAGTTCCATTCTGGGACTAAATGTTTCTGAGGATTAAACACGATTATATAATAAAACATCTAGCCATTATTACATTATAGGTATCTCTGCCTTTAAAGATCTTCAAATGTGCCGTTGGAAATGTAACGGAACATTTTTTTTTTCATATATCCTACACATACGCTAATAAATAATGCTTAACAGCAACAGAGATGACCATTAATCTATGTTCATCGAATGACACTCGACGGTGATTCTGTAAAGTAGGTGTAGGTACCTATATCATGTTCGAGATTCTTTTTTTTGGTTATTATAAAATTGTAAACGTCTCAGAACAAAGTATTATAATATGTACCCTATAGTCCCAGCAGTACGCGTTTATTGACGTGCAATGTTTTACAATACCCGAGGGTTATAGGCATTTTTGAACGAAATTCGGCACGTACGGTCTTTGAAGTCCACTTGTTACCTATACATATACGGTGCACCCAATCTACCTGCGAGTCGGCAAACGTCCTTTGAAGTTAAGTAAAGATTTTATTACACCTATAGAATACATGTAGGTATTTCACTATTCCCAATGTTTGTTCCCGCCGTAAGTCAACAAGCAAACATTGTTTCTATCGCCAGACAATATCATTTATGTTTATACCAGCTATTATGTAAGATTATTATATATAAATATGGGTACTTTACAACTCTCGTTGCGTTCAACGAGGAAATAGAGAAAAAAAACCTAACCGATATTTGTGCAACGCGAGACACACAACACTTGTTTTAAAAGATGGAATTTCACATAGGTACATAACGAGTTAATAAAACCTAGAAATGAGTGGTGTTTATTATGGAAGCAAGTAGGTCTCCTCTCTGCGAGTTTATCTCGCAACGATGCTGCTCTTTTTTAATATCCACAGATTATTATTATTTTTTTATTATATGTGATATGTACACACACACACACACACACACAAGTGGACTACGTGAGCTGAATATTTCGAGTCTACGCAGTGTAACTGACTTCATCGCGAGCTTCTAGGAGAAACGAAAAAAAAAAATTAAAAGAAATCTTATGTACACGCACTTTTGAAATAGGTAATATATAATTCAGAGGAAACGTTGAAGTTGTTAGAAACGAATGAACATCACGGTGGTGAACGATTTGAATAATTTTATAATTACGGATAGTCAGTTGTTTTATATTAAGGGTTATTTATTCTTGTTATTTTTTCGTCCGTTTTATAAAAACCAATATTACCTATATATATATCCTTACGAACACCAAAATTCAACGTTAATCGATCAGATATGTCGGGTAGATAGGGAGTCTGTTTCTTTCACTCCGCTCTCACCCTCATCCCACCCACTCATCGTCGCTCTCTAGATTTCTCTATCTCTCTCAGGTCTTCAAGACCTCTTGCACCAGTATTTGTGTCGCATAAAACAACATGCACGACTCGGGTTTATGGAAATGTACCATAATTATCTGTACATACGGAATATTCGATTGGTGAGTAGGCTGAACGAATAACCTGACCATTCGAATGTAAAATAATAGCCAGTCTACTAAAAATTAACATAAAATAGTTTTGTATCTCTTAAAAAGTTAAAACGAAACAAAACATATCACGCGGGATAAACTAACTCAGTATTGGTAGAGGTATCTATATAATATATTATATACTATACATAAATACAAGTTTGTGTGTACGACCAACTCGAGCTCGGTAACACGCTGTACGTGGTCAACAGTTTTCCGGTTACACCTTTTCTGTAGGGTTCGACGAATGTTCAGCACACTTCTCGTTCATCATCGGAAATGAGATATTATAGATACTTACTAGGTTTTATTTACATTTTAAGTAAACTATTAGGATTTTAACGAGACACCGTTATATAATGACGTTTTGTCAGGACATACACCAGCTGAAATATACACCTATTAAGTATAAATACATATACACACAGACACACACAAACACACCTTGTTTACATATTGTCACTCATCACTGGGGATCATAACAATTATAATATGTGTGTACAATGAAAAACATATCCAATGTCGCAAATAGGAAAAATGTTCAAAAGGTGTTCATAGTATTCTTTGTAAAAAATATTTTTTATTAAAATTAACTACCTACCATGTTCTAATCATAGTTTTGAAAGGAGCTTTTAGAAAATAGAAAATCGAGGAGAGGTTTTCCCTAGTGCTTGCATCGCAAATAATAATATCCTTTGCGGCTTGAATATTATTTATTATTTAAAATGCTTAAAGTTTAACGGACCAACGACGAACGGCTCCTATAGGCAGGGTTAACAAAAGCCTGGCACGCTTTTTTTTGCAGCAAAATATAATATACTACAGTGGGATGGTAATATAATAATATAGTATATATATATTTGGATAATATAACATAATATGTACACATACGCAATAATGGGGTGTGAAAACAGATATTTCTCACGCGGTTTCCTAACAATATCTATAAAGTTTTATTCGGCGTGTCAACAACACTTAACACAACACGTATTTATACCTATACATATCATAAAATATGTTGTCGTCGTGTATAATAATATATATGACTACACCGGCGACCTAAGCGGGGCCCTTTGACGGCGAGGAAACAAACATCCTTTACATAATAATAGTGATGATAATGTGCTGTTGTCGTGCGTATTGTGCTGCATGTGTAAAGGCCCGACAAAAGAGGCAATACAATGTATAGGCGCGAAGGGGTTCCTCTATAAACGTGCAGTCTGACAGTAAAATATATATAATATTATAAAAACGGAAAAAAATACGTTCTTTTAGCCCCTGTGACGAAGTTATATACGCATACATCGTGTATATATATATATAGTTAGGAGGTATATTATTCTATGCCGAAAATATAATTAGAAATACAAAGAACCGGCGACAGACGCATCCACCCGAATTCGGTAATAACATAAATCTTAAAACGGGAACGAGTGACAGACAGACGAGCAAATATTTTCAATAATATTTTACTGGGTTTGGTTTCTTTTATTTTTTTTTCGGTTTTTTTTTCATGCCTCGTTCGCTTACGTCCGCCGAATCCCGATATTATATACAGCACACACGCATTATCAAAAAACTGGTACGAATTTTCGTCCACCACCGCCACCTCTCACCACCACATGCGCACGGCCGTATCTAATAATACGGCGGCGGCACACGGTGAGCGCGTATGGGAAAAGTGTTGTGCGAAAACGTCGTGCGGGAGACTTGAACGCAAGTGAAGTAAGTAATAAAATATTACAAGAGACTTTAACGCACACACGTGAGTTGAATATAAATTCCGACCGGCGACCTCTATGTTTTATTTATTAGAAAGGGAAAAAATTGTACATAGTTTTACCGGACGGAACATCTTTTATTACATATTACACACACACAAATACATACATATAAATATAAATACCATTTTTATATATATATATATGTATACTGAATAAGTAGGTACACTAGATATGAGTATGTTATCTAAATATGTTATGTCTTCCGAATATTTGCTGAACGCACGTGCGAGCGAACTTTCGAATATATAGTATTATAGTACCAGCAAATCGCAATGAATGGTGAAAACAAAACTGTTACTAAGACCGATAACCCAGCCTATACCCTGATATATCACGAATAAAAGTATCGTAGTATTCAAGACCGATTACACCAGCTTAAGAGTCATGGGATGGAGACAACGAAAGTTCAGTTAAGTTAGTACCTGTATCCTGCAATGTCGATTCCCGTGGACGACGATGGGTCGTCGTCGTCGTTGTAAGATTTGTATTAATCCAAAAATAAGCGAGTGCGTATCCAACAGTGTATGGTGTGCTGCGACCGCACAGTAATCTTACTAATATAACAACCACACGCGATGAGATTAAATTTTCGGCGCACCGAGAATATAACGATATAGATATAATATCACCGCAAAAACTCACAGAAATCTATACAAAAAAAAAACGGTTGCAACGAAACGAGCACAGCATATACGCACTTGCACGAACAAGCGAACCAACGGGGTAGGATATAAAATATTAAAACCTTTATAAAAACATTAAAAAAAAAAAAAACACTAAACACACCGCGCACGCACACACCAAAAAACGAAAACACGATGCGTCGAAAAGGAATTATTATGATTTAATAATATGCGATCCCTCAGCCAAAGTAATAAACGCATAGAGATATAATTTATTTTCGATTCACCACGAGAGCTGAGTGGAGAAAATAATAATAATATTATAATAATGATGGCTTGGAAGCGGACACAAGAGAAAAATTATAAAAACCGGCGCGCGCGCCCGAACGTACGGTAAGGCGGTTGTGCAGTGACTGACTCGGTCCCGGTCGGCTCCAGAACTCGTTTTGTGCGCTCGCCACAAGTGCGAGCTGCGTGGTCGCTCCTGCGGGTGCGTGTGTCAGTATGCGTATGCTCGCCCGCGGAGATCGTGCGCGTGCGAGCGCGGGCCAGCTCCTCTCGGGTGTCGCGGGGTCCGCGATGCGCGCGCTGCCTTCGTCGACAAGGATCGCGGGTACCGCCGCCGTGTGGTACGTCGACCGCGCCAGTGGCGACCCGACAAGGACGGCGCGAAACAGGTTTTCAGCCGCCGCCGCAGTCCGAGAGTCGGGCGCGCGAGCTGCTATTATAGCTCCTCGGTGCGCAGCGGCCGCGTGTACCGGGCGGCGCGCGGCGGATGCCGGCCGAGAGCGTCGGAACAATTCTGAGTCGGCCGGCGCGCATGCGTGCGGCACGGTGCGTGCGCGACGCGCGACGGACGAGCCGACCGAGCGCCTCACTTGGCTTTCGCCCGCGCGTACGTGAGCGACTGCTTGGGCATGCCAGACAGCCCTTGGCGGGTTCGACGACAAATCTCATGACAGTATAATGTAAAATAATATAAAAATCATAATATTGTAATAATACTTTAGGTCATTGTGTTACCCGAAGAAGGCGCAGACGACGGACGTTTTCGACTACACCGTATCGCTGTCGTTGAATTTAAAATTGTTTGGACTATCGTATGACCGTCTTGACGAGAGTGTGACACAATCATTATTGTTGTTGTCGACAGTATAATACCTACTCGATCGGAGGGATATTGCCAACTTGCCAGTCGATTACGCGTCTATCGAGATTTCACAAAATCGGACAAAATTCCGGGTACCTCCAATTATTATTTAAATTTTTTTAAAATTTTTTTTTATCAATTTCGATGATTTATTAACACCATGGTATATAATACAATATTAACATATTATTTTTCAACAATGTCATCGCTGCAGCTATTTTCGAATTAACCGGTATTTTCAGTTTTTCGGTTTAACAGTATATTATAATAATTCTCATGCACCGTGCGCGGTGTATCATATGGAAAATACAGTCGGTTCTGGTGTCAACATAATTTACATTACTCTTAATATATCCATGTGTCAGTAAGTCATTAACGCGTTAAATTTATTAACGACACAGTTTTAATTCATTTGTTTTTAGTCCATATTATTATTATTTCTATGATATTAATATGTAATAACTATTGTAAGTATTACGAGTGGGTGGTTTTTGTTTTCCGACTTCCGTTTTGTATTGAGGACTTTATAATACACATTATAACTTATTGGTTGTTATTATATTGTATTATACTATGATTGTATTTCTATAGTCAGTTTCGATTGGTTTTCGAGATAACTAATATATTATATAGAGGTATAGGTTACGTCTTATATAATTCTCTTGTCTCGACTAGAAAATGGTTTTCATTATTGTGCTATATGTACCTATATATAAATATCGACAAGGACTTAGACTCAATTCTCCTCCTCGTATCTGCAGTGATGAATTACACGCAAGGTAGGTAAGTAAGTAGGTACACTAACCTATTATTTATATATGTGAGAAGGTAGGTATATACTTTAGAGTCTAGAACATTAGTTAATATCGGTTATGATTGAAATACGTAGGTAGGCTCCCTTTTGTATTTCGTCAATAATACAATCATTTCCATGTCTTTATTGTATTGTGCGGGGGAGTCGTCGATGATGGTGTGGTATATATAGGTACTATCGGCGTCTTCCAGCTCCAACCACTAGTATAATTAATATCATATACAACATTATATTAGTAGGTACTCGGTCGCGGAAATGTCAAGGTATATAGTATAGATATACTTATGACGTGGTCTCGTGGTCCGTCGTATAGTTTGTACCTATATATACCTACCTTGTTGCCAGCTCACGGGTCAGCGTTATGATAATATATTATATTAGAAATCGACCGATCTCTTCTCCGTTCGATATATATAATATTATAAGTAGCCGCAGAATATAATATGTATATATATATTATATATTTATATATGTATTGACGACAATATCGCTCGTCGTACATAGTAGTCGGCGCACATCACATATATTATGTATAGTGGGCTATATAGAGCTTATACAAACGGTCTGTGTATAATATAAGTTGGCGTGTATATAATATAATATCGCGTACTTATATATTATATTATACGGCGAGCGGCAACGTTACACGGGTATTTTTACACGTCCGTTTTCTCGTTCCTTTATAAAATGGCGTATTTATGTGCACCGCACAGAGTTCCGGGGAGCACATATAGATACGCGACGTCTTATCGTAACGCATACGCTAAAGGTATTGGGTAGTTGTAGGTACTTGTGGTCACGGTCGGTTGCGGACGAGCCAATTTTATTTACGTGTTATTCAAATACTGTGCATCAGTATAATAATATATAATATATAATATGAGACAGTGACGGTGCGTGCGGCTCTGTATATAGCTGCCGCCTCATGGGTTAGGGTTATTAGTTTTTTCATTCAAACCACGACTAAATTGCAATAATATTATCTTAAATGTACTTACAGAAGTCATTAGAAAGGCTAAAAAAAATATTTATATTTTTTATGAATTTTTCTGCGTTCAAGTGCACTTATAATAATGTATAGGTAGGTAGTGGCAAATCCGTTATATTGTTTTTACGCAATGATTTGTGCATTTTGTCCGAATGTAAATTTTCTATACATAAACAATAAACATAATATTATAATATTATAGTAAAAACTGGTACTAAAAACAATACTCCAAAATAGTTTCATGTGATCATCTCTCTACATAGTATTATATTTGACACAGTTTGAAGATTAAACAGGTATTATTTTTCGGAACTTTCCCAGTACTTATATAGTTTACAAATAATTAATCGTAATAAAGTGTATCTACCTACGCAAATCTCCAAATTAAATCGTCTTGGCCTAAATCGATTCAAAATATTTCATAGTGGAAATCGAAGAAGATATTAACTATTGACACAAAATCTAGATCGATCACGTTTATAATAGGTAACGGTATACAAGTGTACCCTAGTATATACTACGATCGGTTACTTATCTAATCAAGTTTACGTTAACGATTGATATATTTTTATGGTACCGGCCCTAATTTTTACAGCAGTAATAACTAATAACGGATAATAAATAATTTTTGAAAAATAATCTTTTATACTTAAATATTTTATCTATATAAGTACCTACGCGTATGGAGAAGTTTATCAATTGCTCTAAAAATTACCATTTCATATACCAATTACCAACTTTTAAACTATGTGGGTATTGTGAAAAGCTAAAAAAATCATTCTGAACCAAATTAAAATGTTCCATCAACAAATATTATTACCACAAGTGTCAAGTAGGATGCATACAAATTCTAAATTAATACATATATATTTTTAAAAACATATTGTGTTTAAAATATTATTGTTTATTAACGATATTATATCGTATGTATTTGTATAAAATTATTTAATGTTGTATGTATAGGTACTTCTGTTAAACTTTTAGGTAATGATGAGTACTATTTTGCTAAGAATACGATGAACACTTCGTCGTATAGAATGCACATTGTTTAATGTCAAATCAACTGCACGAATTAATTTCAGTGGTCGTGTCGTTACTTGTTTTAAATGTTTATCTTATTAAATAATCAGCAATAATATGTCTGATAATATTTGCACTTGCTTCATGGTTATGATTTGAGTTGTGAGATAAAAACTTTTATCAGAAAATTAATTTTTAAGGAAACTTTAAACTCTACACCTTATCCCTAGTTCAATTTTTTTTCTAAGTTTTTAAATTTAAAATCATTGACAAGTAACAACCTTCTTACATTTTTCACTTAACAGCTATTGTTTAAAATTATGCATAATATTGTAACGTAAAACCACTCAAATTGTAATAATAAGCAATGAACAATATATATTTTTATTAGAAAGTATTCTCTTAGATTGATAAATTTCTGAAAATATACAGCCATACATGATGCATTACAAATAAATGGCAGTTGTACCCTTGTACTTATTAATATACCTATCTGGTATCATCATTATTGTAATATTGTGTTTTCCTTCATTCAATAGTCAGTATTGTGTGTAACGAACCAATTAAGCCTACGAATAGATAACGTTAATGACAACATATTTTTGTTCATAACACTTAAACTCATATAGTTGTAATCGTTTTTAACATTGTTATGTTGTTAATATGACGTTTCATGAAATTCCCGATGTAGATATACTAACAGTTAGCTTAACCTAACTTAGATTAATTTTGGATGCAAATCAGCTAGTGGCTACTATCAAGAATATTATTTCTTGTCGGAAAAAAAGCCAATAAACCAAATGTAATGTAAACTCATTAATTATAAACCTACACAAACAAATCTTTATTATTATGTATATGATGTTTATTAAATTTTATCTTATATAATATTCAATAGTTTATAATTTAAAAATATTTTATCTAGTATAAGTATCAAATCTGTAAAATAAATTGTAATGTAAAGTATTGTTACGTTCAATGCCGCGGGTCGTCTATAGTAAAAAAAGAGAATACTATTTCTTTTCGGAAATAAAAAATATTTGACCAGTAACTCGTAATGACGTAATCAATTGATCAATGTAAGCATAAGTTTTTAATTTTCAATTCTTTTAATATACTTACCTCGTTTATGATAATTCAATGATGATGGAATAAGATTAGACAAAAATATTTTCATACCTGAAAGTAAACTAAAAGGCAATCGCAATTTATTGGTAGGTGCCTACCTATATTATCCGTAAAAAAATATGAAGCGCAATTGGTACACTGATCCTAAAATGAAAAAGTTGTTTTAGGCGCAATTGGTGCATGCCCGAGTATAGATGTGAGACGACAAATACCAATATAGAAAACCCCTAAAAAACCTCGTGGGTGGTCCGGGGTAAGGAATCGGCCTCAACGACCATATACAATTCTGCCTCCTCAAACAATAAGCACAAACATAATCAATATTTATTCACGGAGAAAATTAATATTTAAATTGGAACATCCATGTGGGTATTTACTGTATTTAGTAACTGTTAATTAATACAATTATGGGAAAAAAATAAAAAAAAACATATTTCTTATTCCGTTTATACATCTAAACTAGTACGTACTATAGTTTCCACATAGGTAATGATGTTTTATTTTTATATCAATAAAGTTAACGCCATTCTGCATTTTATAATAGTACAAACAATGTATAAAGTATATAATAATAACAGATTATAGGTTATACGTTTATTTGTGTACCTACAAACTAATATTTAATGAGAAAATTGAACATATTATACATTACAACTTTACAAGTGATTTATAGTTATAAATAGTATTAAGTATAATAGAATTTGTGCAGGTTTTGTACGTAAGTATTGACATATCATGGCATATTATTGTAGTGACTCATCATATTTGATAGTAGAGAATTCATAGGAAAGTTAGAATTGGTA